GTGATGCAGCCACCTCTGCAAATTGAATGTATTTCAGAGTCAAGCTGAATCCTGTGGCTTGGTGACTTTTTGAGTAAAATGAGTATAGACAATTTGAAGCTTTTAAGAAAAAGACCTGATGTGACTAGAAGAAACTGAAAAGGAAGGAAAGAAGTTGGATGTGTGAAATCATGCCAGTGATTGAATTACCTAGTAAATTTTATTGTAAAAGAAAATAAGAGATTGAGAAAATAAATTGCTTCTGTTTCTGGGATTGTTATTATATCTCCAGGACTAAATCAATTTCTTTCTTTCTTTTTTTTTCTTAAGAGAAAGAAAATGGCCCACAGCAGGCAGGCTTAACATGCTTCAACTAATCTGAGTTGAATAACTGTCAAACTGAAGGCCAGTTACACTCCTATTAAAAGTGTATGTTTGTTAATCATGGGGAAATGTAAATTCCTGGCAAGATGATATCATTCTAGTTGTTCCAAGTTCATAGAAGCCTCTTGCTTTTTGTGGCATAGTTTCTTAGGAAAAATAAAAAATAGTAATGGTACAAAACTGGCTTTGGGAATTTAAAATGCAAACTTCTGTTTCCAATTGCCTTTGCCTTATGTAAAGATTTAACAGAATCATTAATGTCAATCAGTTCATTTTTGGAAGTTGATTGGCAACAAGCAGCTCTTTTACTGGGTAGCCTTGAGCCAAACATGGAAACCTTCTTTTCTTATGAAAAAGTCTTTGAAAATTAACCAGGAACTTGTACATAAAATGAACATTTCTGGTGGATGCTTCTTAGTACTCGACAACATCAGATTGCTGACCTTTCCTTTGCAGGTGTTATTTGGTTCAAGAGTTGATTCGTCTAAGTGCCCTATTTCTCCTCTCGGATTAATTTATCTAATATCTTCTAGAAACTACTAAACAGGGACAGTTTTGTGAAAGGAGTCAAAAAAGTATTTCATAAAATGTTACTATCTTCTGTTGTCTTAAACCTGATTAGTTCTGGGAACCGAGAGCCCAGTGTGTGACCCTGCATGATTCATTAACTACTGCTCTCCATGGTATTTCAAAGTTGATTTATCTCATGGACAAATGAGAGCTTATTGAGTAATTCACATTTTTCCAGAGAAGTTGGCTTGAAGTATCCAGCACAACCTGCCAAGCTCTTTGTTTATAAATCCATTTCCTGGTGACATCATACAAGATACTCCCACCTGGAAATCTTGAATTTTGCCTGGTCTTCTTAGATGATTAATTCTAAACCCAGCATAATCTCATTGCAACCCTCCCCTTATTTGATTACTACAGTTCAATAGAAGAAGCCCAACGTTTTTTAGGATTCTCTCAATAAAACATTTTTTATAGATACTGACCTCTCAATTACTCTTAATTAACGACCTCACTCTTCATACAATTTCAACTACCTGGGGTTTTATTTTTCAAATATGGATATGGTCTCCTTGATGTTCTCTTAAACAGTTATTAAGAGTAGATTACAACCAATTTAAGATCCTAAATGGGTATAAATGGGACATGGTTGTTGGAAAAAGAAACACAGCTTTAAGGCACTAAAGAACCTTTCAGCATTTCTTTGAACTTGACAACTGAATGATTTACTGGCAACTCATTATGTTATTGTGAGGAAGAGTCATGTCTTGTTAAGCAAAGCCATACGCAAGAGAGCAAAGTAGATGAAATATCAATCTCTCTCTGAAATTGGTTTTTGCTACAGTGAAAAGCTGGTTGATTCATAATGAACACATTTTTCATAAGTAAGAGACTAAGCAGCCAGCTTGGGGACCCCGGGGACACACAAGTTGAATAGCCTGGATCTGTGATGAGCCTATTCACATTTTAGCACATGAAATCTTATTTTCCTTAGAAGTTTCTCATATTTTAGGAAAGAAACTAGAAGATTAAAAAAATAATAATGAACACTTGGTATCATATTTCTAATAAAAATAGAGTCAAATTATTTAATTTGATAATCAGTTTCAAAACTCAAAATTAACTGAACTTATATCTGATGACATGCTCTAAGTAAAAAAAGTAACATAATCTGGAAAGTTTTCTGTTTGTTTTGTTTACCATTCAAAAGTCGTCCGTTCACATAGTTTAAAAACATAATCTTAAGGTTTGTCTTTATCTGAATTTTTAGTTTCACAATGATTATGAGCAATAATACCTTGTGTCGCACAGATCAAAACTAATGACTGCGGGCTATCCCTTATTTCCACACAGCTTTATTGGCGGCAATCAGCAATAGTGTCCTCATATTCTGAGGCTAGAATCCATGATTTGTGTAGCGGAAGCTTTTCAGTTTTGGAATGCCCCGAAATAAAGCACATCATTTTTTAAATTCCATATAGTGCCAAGAAAGTGGGTATTTGCTTAACCAAAGGCTTGTTTTCAACAGGTGATAGAATCTGCTCTTTTTAGCAATAAACTTTTCTGTTATGAATGACAACATAGTATGGAGGTAGATGTTGCCTTAACAAATAATCAGACACAGTGCAAGCTTCTCAAAATTCTTTAGATGTCCAAGGCACTCAAGGAATAAAAGTACTAAAAAAAAGAAGAAAAAAAAAAACCCACAAAAGGGTCATGCAGACATGGCGTTTAACCACAGATATTAAGTTCTTCAGCCATATAATGCACAACAGATTTCTTTCCTCCCATAATTCTTTTAAGGAAAATTTATGGAGAAAAGAAATCTATACAAGAAGCTCTAATTAGCCTAACAGTAAAATGTGAGGCCATAGGGGAAAGTGGTTAAAGCCCTACCATACCTAATAATATCAGACTTGGATCTGAATCCAGAAAGACTTGAGTGGGTGGAGAGAGAGAGATAGGTGAATAGACAGACAGACAGACAGACACTCCTGGGTAAGCAAGGTAGTGTTACCCTGTTTTACAAACAAGGAAACTAAGGCTCAATAAAGTATGTGTCTTGCCCCCTGTCCCACAGCTAATAATTGGCAGGGCTGAGATTCAAACCCAGGTCAGTCTGCTTTGAAGCCCCCCGCTCTGTAAGCACCATCTGATAAAAACAGTTCCTGGAGGATACTGATTCTGCTGGTCTGAAGACCACAGTTTGAGAACTGCTATTTACAAAGGTCATCAGCTGACAATAAATAGCCCAAGAGTGGAGACAGGTGTAGAGATTTCACAAGCCAGCCTTACAGAGAAGTTATATATAGTAAAGATTTCCAGAACAAAAGCGATGTTGCTGCTGTGTCATCAAAAAGAATGGTAGGTAAAGGTTGCCCTGACCACAAGACTCCCTGCCACAATATTTACCTAGAAATCTATAAGCTGGCTACAAAGCTAAAAGGGCATGTCTGCTCTGTGATAAAAACAAAGTCTGTTAGGGATATGTAACAGAGTGAAGCTGTCCAAAGCAGGATCTGAGAGTTTATTCTAGATTTCAGCTTTATGCCACTTAGCCTTTTGGTCTTACTGAGAACCACTAGTTACCATGCAGGCGGTGCTGGGTAGAAGCAAGCGTATTGGTTCGGGAGCCAACCTAAAGTCTGACTCTCTCATTTACTAGCTGGGTGACCTCTAGTAAGTTAACACTTCAGGTCTGTTTTCCCATCTACAAAATGAAAACTGAGGATATGAATCATTCTTCACAAAAATCAAAGAGGTAAGGCACGAAAAAGCCTTTGAATAGTGTCTTGCATGTCCTAGGTACCCAGTAACAGTCAACTACTATTATTTTCCCACTGCTGAGTCAGGCCATGAGATACAGGAGAAGCTTTCCTGATTCTCTTGCTGATCATTTGTACCCAAATCTCCTCCTGGTGCCTGCAGATAGATGTGGTCAGCGGGGTTACTGGGCATCTACAGTGTGCTGGGCTAGCAGATACCACCTCCATTAGATGTGAGACTTCCTGCACATGGGAAAGGAGAATTTGTAAAAGAAAAAAAACAAAAAACTCTTATTTAAATTTTCCTTTTGCTAACCTTAAATGACCCTGTATATTCCAAAGAGGATTATAAACCAGACACGTGCCTTTTTTCATTTAGCTCCTGTGGCAATCCTGGGAAGTCTCTGTAGTTGTTCCTATTTTGAACACTGCAAACTGGAGCTTACAAGGTAAAGTGACAATGAATTGAAAAGCCAGAATTTGAGCTCAGGTATGCTTGAGACCAAAGCCAATACTACCTTCAAATTTGTAAAACATAGGAGGATATGCATAATCCTTTTTTTGAAGGAGAGGGTTTGATACCCATTTGCTCATTTATGCATATCATATTTCATTTTGCATGTCTTCCCCTTAGAGGAACTTATGGGATAATAGAAATACCACACTACCCAGATCAAGTGTAGAACACCTAAACCTTGCAGAGTTTGGGCAACTGGAAGTATTATCACACGGCTACTTACTAATCATATCTGTTCAGAACAGAACAGAATAGAATATCCAAAAATGGGGGTGGGGCAGGAACTACCTAGAGTTTAGAAGAAAGGTCAGGGGCGCCTGGGTGGCTCAGTCGGTTAGGTGTCTGCCTTCAGCTCAGGTCATGATCCCAGAGTCCTGGGATCAAGCCCCACATCGGCTCCTTGCTCAGCGGGGAGTCTGCTTCTCCCTCTCCCTCTGCCCCCCTGCTTGTGCTCTCTCTCTCTCTCTCTAATAAATAAATAAATAAATAAATAAATCCTAAAAAAAAAAAGAAGAAGAAGAAGAAGAAAGGTCAGAAAGGGTTCCGTTGAACGGTAACAGATTTCGAGCCTGGAGAGTCCACTCTGGGGGGTGTTAGCATTTTGATTCTTACTCAGTAATTTCCAGAACATAGAATATCTGCTCACCTGCCCTGGACAGGGCCTAGGCACCCTTTCTTCTCTTACAGGAAAACATCACAGATTTCTATGAGCTGTTAGTTGCCATCTTGTTCTGTCTCCTCTCCTCTACCTGCCCAGGCATCCTGGCCCCCACTTGCAGGTCTGGGGCAGTCAGGGAACATTGTAGTGAGTCATCTTGCCCCAAGGCTCTTCCCCTATGGCATACCTTACTATTTAGGATCTGGAAAACCCTCTGCTGTGTCGTCTGGCCAGCCTTTGGCCTCACAAGGATATAAATGACTTTCAGGTCAGGGCTGGTGCGAAACAGCTTCTCCATCAACACTTTGCCCATGAAGCCTGTGGCCCCAGTAATGAGAATGGACTTGCCACTATAGAAGGCTGCAATCATGGACATGATTCTTCTCTTTGTCTTTTAGAATTCCAGAAAGAGGTTCCTGAAAAAGAAAAGAAATAAGAAAACATGACATTCTCAGAAGTTCTGACATGCAGTCAATTTAAAATGTTGCTGGTCCTTTCAGGAGTTTTGAATGCAGAAAAAGGTCAGAGTAAGAGCATCATACTTTATTGACAACATGATTCATTTCAATCAATATTTATTGAGCCTACTTTGCCTGCCAGACTTTATGCCAGGAATTGTGAGCAGAAAAAAAAAAAACGAGTAAGACATGGTTTGCTCTCAAGCGATTGCTCATAGTCTAACGGAGAAGACAGACATCTAAATAGACAGACATCTGAATATAATATGTAAGTGCTAAAGCAAAGGGATTACAGAGGCGGGGTATATAGTAGGATCTGGAAATTTCATGCTTTCCATGGACTGTTTTGAACCTGGGCTTAGAGGCAGACACTTCACGTGGCATGTCAAATAGCACATGGTGCCTTTTCTGGGAGGCCCAGGACCTAAGGGCCACATCTGGCTTGCCACTCCCAGATCTGTTCTTTCTCTCTGCTCCTGGCAATGGCCTTAAATGGACGGAGCCCCTACAATCACCTGGTGCTATTTCAGAGCTTAACAAAGCCTCCACTCCTGGCCTCGCTTGTTCAACCTTCTCTGCCCTTTGCAGTGTTTCAGCATGGAAAGCAGCGGTGGAGAGCTTTGAATGAATGAAACGTGCTGTGGCCTGGGTGCGGACTTCCTGTCTGTCCCATCAGGTCCCCCCCGAGATCTGCTGGATGGCGGTGGGTGGATCATGCAGAACACAACTCCAGGGACTGGCCCTGACATCAGAGCTCATGAAGAAGAGGAAAAGAACAAGTAGAAAAGTCAGCACCCTGCCTTGTCACCTCCAGTCAAAGTTACCCTGCCAAGTAAGTCCGTAAGGAACTCCTTAACTCCTCATAGTCATAATTTACAGATTGTAATGATAGTCATAATTTATACTGTAAGGATCTTGAGGCTGTTCTTGGGCAGAACTCTTTGCCTTTGGAGGATTCATTCACTCATGAGTTTACTCAACAAATAATTTTGAGTACCTGCCCTGCCAGACTCTGCCCTAAGTTCTGAAGATAAGCGGATGAATGAGGCAAACAGATCCTCGCGCTCCCTCCGGCAGAAGAGTCCAGCAATACAAAGATTGGTAAATATGTAAACATGATAATGATAGACTGTTACAGATGCAAATAAAATAAGGATCAATGACAGAAATCACATCCAATCATTGACCCTATTCACCTTAGGAAATCTGAATTTCAAATCATGTTAGTTATATCCACTGAGTTACTATTTAATCCCTTTTATTGGGGCACCTGGGTGGCTTAGTCGGTTTGCATCTGGCTCTTGGTTTCAGCTCGGGTCATGATCTCAAGGTTGTGAAATGGAGCCCCATGTCAGGCTCCGCACTCAGCAGAGAGTCTGCTTGAAGATTCTCTCTGTCCCTCCCCCTGCTTGTGTGCTCTCTCTAAAATAAATAAATCTTTTAAAAAAATAAGCCCCTTTTATTGAGGGTTGATGTGAAAAATATTATTTTGAAGAACACATTTGGATCTTGTACAAAACAGCAATTAATCAGTTGTTTTTTTTTACCATGTTGCAAAATGTCACTCATATTGAAATCTATCCAATCATTTCTCAAGATTTTACCACTTGAGAAAAGTACTAATGAGTCTTGCCTTGCCTGCCTGGAAGCTCAGAAAAGTGTGGAAGGCAGTATGACATCCTAGTTGAGCTCACAGGTTCTGAGCAAGACTATCTGAAATCAAATTCCAGTTCTGCCACTTACTAGCACTGTGACCTCAGGCACATTATTACTCTCTCTGCACTGTAGCTTGCTCATTAGTAAATGGGGATAACAAAAGTATCCATGTAATAATGCTGTGGTAAGAACAATATGAGTCAACATATTACTAAAACTCGTAGTAATCAAAACAGTATTCTACTGGCACAAAAAATAGACACATAGGTCAAGAGAGTAGAACAGAGTGCCCAGAACTAAACCATGCTTATATGGCCAATTAATCTACAATAAAGGAGGCAAGAATATATAATGAGGAAAAGGTAGTCTATTGATTAAATGGTGCTGGGAAAACTGGACAGCTACATGCAGAAGAAGGAAACTGGACCACTTTCTTACACCACACACAAAAATAAACTCAAAATGGATTAAAGACCTAAATGTGAGACCTGAAACCATTAACTCCTAGAAGAAAACACAGGTGATAATTTCTTTGCCATCAGCCACCAAAACATTTTTCTAGATGTATCTCCTCAGGCAAGGGAGACAAAAGCAAAAAATAAACTACTGGGATCACACCAAAATAAAAATCTTTTGCATAGCAAAGGAAACCATCAAAAGAAAACAAGGCAGCCTACTGAATGGGAGAAGATATTTGCAAATGATATATCCAATAAGAGATTAATATCCAAAATATAAAGAGACTCATACAAGTGAACACCAAAAAAACCCAAATAATATGAATAAAAATGAGCCAAGGACCTGAGTAGACATTTTCCCAAAGAAGACATACAAATGTCTAACAGACAGATGAAAAGATGAGCAACATCACTCATCATCAGGGAAATGCAAATCAAAACTACAACGAGTTATCACCTTAACACTTGTCAGATGGTAGAATCAAAAACACAAGAAATAACAAATGTTGGTGAGGATGTGGAGAAAATGGAACTCTTGTATACCGTTGGTGGGAATGCAATTTGGTGCTGCTCCTGTGGAAAACAGTATAAAGATTTCTCAAAAAATTAAAAATAGAATTACCATATAAGCCAGTAATTCCACTACTATTTACCCAAAGAAAACAAAAACACTACTTTGAAAAGATATATGCACCCCTATGTTTATTGAAACGTTATTTATAATAGCCAAGATATGGAAGTAACCTAAGTGTCTATCAATAGGTGGATGGATAAAGAAGATATGGCATATGGAATATTACTCAGCTATAAAAAAGAATGAAATCCTGCCATTTGCAACAATATGGATGGACCAAAAGGTATAATGCTAAGTGAAATAATTCAGACAGAGAAAGACAAATACCATATGATTTCACTCATATATGGAGTTTAAGAAACAAAGCAAACAAAGAAAAAAGAGACAAAAAGCCAGACTCTTAAATACAGAGAACTGATGGTTACCAGAGGGCAGGTGGGTGGGGGATGGGTGAAATAGATAAAAAGGATTGAGGGCATACTTATCATGTTGAGCAGTGAGCAATGTAAGAATTGCATCTGAAACTAATATAACACTGTATGTTAATTACATATCAATAAAAAAAAACTCTTAGAAATATTAGTTACCTATAATATATACTCAATAAGTATTAGCTATTAATATAGTCACTGGTTATACATTTTTCCTCTTAATAGTTCCTGGTTTTTCCTTTTGACATTTATTTTAAGTGCTCAGTCTTGTGCATTTTATACAGCCTCTTTTGGAAATAGAAGGTGACTTATAACTCAATCAGTCATCAAGCCAGGTAAACTGATTTCCTGAAATGCAACTCTTCCTGATGATAAACCTTGCCAGTTCCTGTTTTAGCACCATACTCTTTTAGTATATTAGGTATAAATAAGCATGGGTGGCAGGAAAATACAGAAGAGAAACTGAGTTTGGATAGGGTTATTTCCCAACCTCACTTGTTCTGAAGATGTCAGATGCTGGTTTTGCACTCTTACAGGCTTTTAGTGGAGTCATATTTTATAGAAATGTGAACATACTGTTAAGATATTTTGATCCCAGAGTTTTGTAACCTGTGATAAAAAATTTTAAGAAGCAGGTAATGTATTTCTTTTTTTTTTTTTTTAAAGATTTTATTTATTTGACAGAGAGAGACACACAGAGAGAGAGGGAACACAAGCAGAGGGAGGGGGAGAGGGAGAAGCAGGCTTCCCGTGGAGCAGGGAGCCCGAGGTGGGGCTCAATCCCAGGACCCTGGGATCATGACCTGAGCCAAAGGCAGACGCTTAATGACTGAGCCACCCAGGCACCCCACAGGTAATGTATTTCTAATGAGCCCATTTCTCACGGGACAAAGGAAGACTTGATGTGTCCGCAAAGAATTGAATTTGCCTGCTCTGTCTGGAGTCCAAATACTTCTCAAGCACAACCAAAACCACGGCAGAGTACACTGAGTTCTCTGACACGAAACAAAATAAACCAGTATTTTGTGGCACTCATTACCTGATTGTCGGGAACAGGCAGCAGAGGAGTGTGGCCAAGACTCTAAACAAGGCAAGTGGTTCTGAAAACTGTCAGAGAATTCCTCATCCTCAGATCAAAGTTGTATCAGAGATGTTTCTTCTACTTCTTGCCTCCACTCTAAATATATGGCTTAGTTCCTGACCCCAGAAACTCCTACATAAAATTTGGCTCCCGGGGCGCCTGCGTGGCTCAGTCAGTTGAGTGTCTGCCTTCGGCTCAGGTCATGGTCCCGGGGTCCTGGGATCGAGCCCCGCATTGGGCTCCCTGCTCAGCAGGGGTCTGCTTCTCCCTCTCCCTCTGCTGCTCTCTCTATCAAATAAATAAATAAAATCTTAAAAAAATATTTGGCTCCCTGAATTCTGTTCCATATATTAAACTTGCAAAGTCCAGGGATTATTAACCCTGAATATAATTCATTAAAATAATTAAGTTAATTATTTTAAAAATTAAAATAAACTTACATTCAGTAATGGATGATAACACAACTCTAGAAGGAGGAATATGTTTAGGACCAGCTGACTGGTCATCTTCTGATTGCCAGTGCAGAGAGCAAAGGACAATTTGCTGTTCCTCATGCTTATGATATGGCTTGTGAGAAGCCTAAGCCTCTTTGACAAATACCAGAATCATCCTGTATAATGTAGGATATATTATGCTTGCATGAAAAAGGAGGGGGCCTCTGAAAGTCAGCCAGTGCATTTTTATTGAAAGTCTACTATGTGCCAGATACTGTCTAGACACTGGGAATAGTAGTGAATAGGCTGTAGGCATCTTAGATT